AAATGGCGGCAGGTCCCGGCCCTGCCCCCGGCCGGGCGTGCCGCCCTTATATAATGCCTTTATGTAAGCGGCCGGGGCCAGGGACTCCGCTCTCCCCTGCGAGGTGGCCGGCCCGCTCTGCTCCTCCTTGTCGTTGTCCCCACACACACACGCAGCCCCGCGGGAATGGGGCTTTTCTTCCTGCACAGACCGAGTTGTTTAAAAACTGAGAGGTCGGTCCAGTCCTCAAAAGTCACGTTTTGGCCTGTCAGCCGCCTGCCGTCCTAGGTGGGATGAGGGAGAGCAGGGCGTGTGGGGAGAAGGGGCTCCTGCCTTGGCCCTTCAAGGAGGACAGTCCGACCCTGTGGAGAGGGGCTTTGAGAGCAGACAGGGAGCCGGCACCACGCGCGTGGGGCCTGGGTGGACGTGGGGCAGGGCCACCTTGGCTCCAGCGGCACCTCTGTGCTCTGGGACGACCCTTGCTGCGGCCAGACCCTGCCCCGAAACCACAGTCGCCCTGCGGCCCAAGCTGCGGCCTCAAGAAGGCGCCGCTCCCAGGGTGACCCGCCACTGCTCGCACCTCAGGTGCCAGCAGGAGATAACGGCGTTTTATTTGGACAGCTTCGGCCTCCCCGGCTCCCGCTGCTCTCTCGCAAGCGTGGTCGTGGCCTCCCTCAGCGTGCAGCGGGAGCTGCTGGATGTTTACCCGGGCACTGTGGCCACGTGCTGGGTCAGGGCAGCGGTGTCCCCGGCTGGGTGGCTGCCTGCCTGGGAGAGCAGGGGAGGGAGCGCCTTCACCTGTAAAATGGAGGGGAAGCAGTGAGGTGTGGGTGCTTGCCTCCCCGTACAGTGCTCGCTGCGTGATTCAAAGCCCGTCGCTTCTCTTCGCGCCTTAGTTTCTCCATCTGTGAAATGAAGGTGGTGATTACTTGCTTAATGTTCCTCTGAGGCTTAATTCCTTGTGTTTACAAAATGCTCGGAGGTCTTGGATGGAGGGAGGCATTGAGAGCTCACATGCACTGTGCTTATAGCCTGTTGCTTCAGGCTCCAAATCTTCGTGCTTTACTTAGATGACCTCTGCATCTCAAAATTACTTCAGTGCTTTTCCCTACAAAACGAGTCTCTGCACTGATTCGCTTTCAACTGGAAACTTGCATATTTGTTTGCATTTCAGACAATTCTATTACATTTCTGTATAACTCCATTCAGAATGCTACAGCCTTGGTTAATATTTGTCAAATGGAGCTCTGAGTGTCTAAACCACTGGGACGAGTTTCATTTTATATGTCATCAGTAGGGGCAGAATGAGGAGCTTCGTGCGTGGCCTATTTGCTGTAACACAGTCTCAGGGCCGTTGCATCAGAGTCAAAACAAGGAGCAGCTTGTTTCCAAACAAGAAGCATGGAGGAAAGTCTTCTCTGCCTCCTTCCCTGTAAGGGAAAAGAGAGGAGAGAGGGGGGATGGTGGGGGCGAAGAAAGTTATCTTTAACAGATTCTAAAAATGCCTTTTCCCAAATATGCAGTCAGTCCCTTCAAAGGTCTCTTTGTTTATTTTCAGGAAGAAGCCCAAGACAGCTGAAAACCAGAAGGCGTCTGAGGAGAATGAGATTACTCAGACGGGTGCATGCAGCGCCAAGCCGGGCCTTCCCTGCCTGAACCTTGAAGCTGTTCCGTCTCTGAGCCCGGCCCTCATCCACTCACCACATTCACCAACAAACCTGCACGCACACACAGGGTCATCTGATTGTGAGTACACCAACATGCTGCTGGGTTGCACTGGGGTTCTTGAAAACATGCTCCCTACTGCAGACCAGGTTTTCCAGTTGGATGCTCTTTCCATAATGGCACGAGCAGGACTGCCTCAGGGCTTACCTTTTTCCTTCTTTGGGAATTACCACTGAAACTGAGTGTTTTGTGTTAAGGTCATGATAATGCAATCAGCCAGAGGAAGCTGAGAGCGTGTTGTTGGGTCAGGTTGCTGCTTCTTACGAATTAAAAACGGAAGACCCCTCAAGCGTGTCTCTTTCAGACTAGAGCTATAGTTATTCCTCTCCAGGTAGTCACATGCTTGTTGTTACCCAAGCATATCTACTGATGGGGGATTTTCAGCCTGTGCTGTATTGCAGTGGGAGAAAACAAGTGTCTGGCTCTGACACCCAGGATTGTAAAGGATTTCCACAAAGAAAGGGGGGAGTGCTTTGTGAAGAGGATCAGTCTGAGAAAGTCTGGAAAATCTTTGTAGACCTGTGTGGTTGTACTAGTTTAAGGCCCTTGTTTTGAGTGCATTCACTTTCAGATTACTCAGCATGGGTTAATTGGCCTTTTAAAAATGTTCTTTTCCATTTTGCCAAAAAATACAAAAATAAGGAAGGGAATGATTAAAACTGGATTTTGGAAAGTCAGAAGTTTCCCTGTCAGGTCTTCAAAACATTGTCATTTCACAGTGGTCCCTGCCTGGAAGTCTCTTGGGCAAGAATGTGCAGGGTGATGTGAACCTCGTCATTCACTAGTTTTAGAATATATAGTTTACCTCTTCTGCGGTGGTTTTAGGATGTTGTAAAATTTACAAGGGGGAAAAAAAGGAGAAAGAAAGATGATGACACCGGATTTCAAGAGCTCAGAAACCAACCAGACTTTGCAGAGGCCTATAAAAAAAAAAAAATCAGGGCATGACAATAAAAAATCAGATTAAAAAGTATGTATATCCTTTTCTTTTTTTAATTTAAAAATTCTGCCTCAGGGCCAAGCTTGGAAGCAGCCGGGTTATAGGGATCATCACTATCAAAATCACTTTAGCTGCAATTCATTCCTGTTGGCTTCTGACTTTATTCATTATGAGCTTCTTCTAGAGATCTTGATTTTAATAGAGCTGGTAAACATTGGGGAGACTTTCCTAAATCTCACCTGGTGATTTGGGGAGAAGAAAGAGATGTGAAACAATTGAGCAGCAGGCAGCATGCAGTTTAGTATATACAAGAATTCTCTTCAAATTGGAGATGCCAGGCTCTTTGTTAAAACTGGGGTACAGTTTTGTCTTGTAATGTTTTCTGAAAACAAAAAGCTTGTGAAAAGATGCAAAAAATGAGCAGAACAACAAGAAAAAATAATCCTTATTTTCAAACAAAGAATCTATTTATCCCATTCACAAAGATGAAAGAGTTCATCAGTAAATGGGATTTGAAACCTCACACTGATGTTTTTTGACAGTACAAATGGAAACCCATGAAAGCAACCTTAGGACAGAGGCCAGCAGGAATTGTAGGGAACTTGGAGAATGAGCTCCTGCTTTTGCTTTCTGAGGTGGCCAAGTTCAGGGGTGAGGAATATTGGCAGAGGGCAGTAGGGGGAGGTGGAGCCTGGAGTTCTTCATGCTCTACCTGTTTTGTGGACAGAGTCTTTTAGACCCCAAAGTTTTTAATGTCCCCAACTCACCTTCCATTCCTACTAAATTCACAATACCAATATGAATTAATTGCAAACCCAGGTTAGAGGCTCCTTTCACACTGAAGTTGGGGGTTTTTTTCAGAAAAGAACTTTAATAATAATTTCAGCATTAATATTGTCCCGTTTCAGGAATTGTTGAAATTTAGTTCCCAAAATAAAGTTAGAGTCCTGCAAAAATTCAAGAAATGGTAAGATGTCATGTGGTGTTGATCTCTTTTAGTTGATTCCATGTGCTTTGAAACCAATGGAAAAACTCCCATTATTTATGATGGGCTATAACCTTTATCACGCCATATTTGTTCAGGGCAGCATGCATGTAATTAGTGTTTGGCACGCCCTTGTGAAATAGCAATGCCAGTTTCTCATACAAACTAAAAACGAGTCATGATGAATATTTACTGCATATTTACTGTAGCTATCTCCTGTGTTATGTAGTATTTTTTTTCAATATTGCCTCAATCCTTAGTGCTGGAATACATTCATTGACCCAAGAGATTAATACTTGTGGCTCCCAATATTTAAAAATGGGCTTCCCCGTCATTACAAACTCCTTCTCCTTACCTCTTGCCTCCCCTGCCTTTGGACTGATTCTTTCCCCTCACCCTAGAATCCCTCCCTTTGTCCTTCTCTTCCCCACTTCTCAGAGCTACATTGCCACATCTTTTTTCCTCTCAACTTTTGGACCTGTGGTGATCCTTTACTTCTTTGGGCCAGCAGCACTTCTTGTCCTCTCTACCTTCTAGACACTACAGCATTGCTTCTCCTCCCTTGCCCAGACCACCATACTGCCTCTACCCCCACAGCTGGGCAGATAATATTTCATTTTCAAAGGGCATTCTTCATTCTGGTGGGGAGTTTTCTAGTGGATGGTAAATAATTTAAAAATACTTAAAAACTAGGATTAGACAGGAAGTTTGAGAGGAATTTTCGTTGCAAATATCAGAAATGCCCAGAAAGAGTCGGTGTGGTAGGGCATATCAATTCTTGGAAAAAAGCACTGATGTACAGATGGTTCCATAAGCCCTCATTCATGTATCTGGAAAAAATATTTGGATTTTATGGGCCACCTATTCAAATGCGCTTGAAATCTTCACTGACCATTTTACATGCACAGTCACTAGTGCTTGGCAGAAAACACCACCACATATTTATTATGAAAAATATTAAGAAGCTAATCTACTTTAAAAAATCAGGGTGCTTTTGGAATGATTCTGATCAAAATACTTTTTTCCAAGCATAGGAAATAAAAACTCTATGATAGCCATCTTCTCCTCAGCTGTAAAAGGCAGAGGTGAAGAAAGCCTAAGCAATAGTCTGAATGCCAGTCTTAACTGAAATGAGTACTTCACAGAAAAATGTGGGTGAAGTCATATGTGATGCACAACTTAATTTAGGGCTTAATTCTATAGAGTAGTGCATTGTACAGGCTGTTTCTGGTACCACTTATTCGCAATGAAATTACATTACTTCTGACCCTTGTATGACTGGGTCTTAGATTTCTGGATTTGAAGTTTATGATATATTTCTAGTGCAGACGAATCCTTGAAGCAAAATCCAGAACCTAGGATGCATCATGTCCAGTTCCCATGTCTTTCAGTCTTGGGAAATGCTAGATCATGCAATGCAATTGGAGAAAAAAGTTAGGGGAAGAGGTGCTTCCTGAGGTAACTGTTTTCATGTAGGGCTTGGCAGATAAAAAGCACCACTTTGAATTAGTTTGGAATTAAGTCATAGAGTGAGCTGATAGAGCTCCAAATGAGTTATACCTCTAGCTACTCAGCTGTCACAAACAGATGTAGCTGCTTACCCAGAAGAAAGGTGTTTGTGCAAAAAGCTACAAGGACAAGCATGGAGGCACAGGTTCTGGAAAGATTAAAAAGCAGCAAAGGAAAGCATATGAGATTGGTGCTATTTGCAGTTTTCCACATACTTTCTTGCTTATGGATAGAGAATGCATAAAGTTGGTAGGGTCCTAGTTTGAAGGCTGAACTGCCTCAGGTAAAGCTTGTAAAGATTTTGCTGAGAGGGAAGGAAGTCATTAGGACTTGGCTGTATGTAAACTGATTTGGTGTGTATAGGCCACTTACTTCAGGAACCCTTCAGAAAGCATCTATACCTATATATGTTTTGCAAGTGCCAAGAGATAAGATCATTTTGGCAGAAACTTTCATGAGTTCTCAGAGATACAATCAGACAAAAACTTCATTCATGCTCTGATGTATGCATCTTAACAGATGTGTCCAAACTCAAAGGAATCCCCCGGGAACAGTGCAACCGAATCTCTTTGTCTCTATTGATAGTTAACAGAGTTATTCTTAGACATTGGATGGTCCATCTGTGAAGGAATTTGTTCCAGATGAGGGGGAAGCAACATCTTTGCAAAGAGTTTCCATGGGACTGAGAGGCAGGTTGGACAATCATTGGAAAAACTGAAGCAATTTTTATGATTTTAGAGAACACAGAATTCTTGTGGAGACCTGAGATTCTGGTAGGGAATTAAAGTTGAGAAGGGAAGTGGGGCACGTATAATTTTTGAAAAATCCACGAAACAATCATTGGCAAGACGTTGAGATGCAGGAGGACTTTCTAAAGTTATGTTTTAGCAAGGGACCAGGGAGTTTTTTACGCAGTAAATAGAATGCACCTTATAAACACTGTTGGTGATGGACCACATCTGAACCCTTTGTCCATACGTGCTCAAGTGACATGGCTGACTTGGTCCAATTCCAGCTTTTTTTAGCTTTGATAGGATGGGAACTTTGAGGCTGTCTGTTTTCTTTCTCCTTCTAAGTTCTGATTTTTGTATCTTAATAGCCTTCCAGCTTAATGGGGAAGGACAGAGAGGGAACCTCACAAGGTTCCTGAACTCCACAGAGCATTGAGAGTGGATGTGGAAACTGGGTTTTCATTTTCTTGAGCAGCTAGAGGAATGCACCATTCCTTTCCCATGAATCAACAAATTTGATTTGCCTGGGGCTAATCGAGAGGCTAGGTGGATCTGAAGGTGGTTTGGCCTCATCTTTATGTTTTAGGTTTTCCTGTGTTTCTCTTTGAGGTTCTGTGGCAGGAAGAGAACAGTTACATGCCCTTATGGTCTTCATGCTGCCTCTGGAAATTTGTGGCTATGATTCCCTAGGACCTGCTGTGGAGCTTTCAAATGACCTCCACTCTCAGAGGGGTGGAGGGGGACCCTGATTCTACCAGCTTCCTTGTTTTCAGAGGCAGGCAGTATGTCTATAGTAATTTCATCTGTATTTTTGCTAATCTATGTATGGCATGTGTTAGCTAATGCTGAATATTTT